GGGGGGGGGGGGAACGAATAGAAAAGGAATCACCTCAAGGCTCAGGTGCTGTTGCCACAAGTTGGCATTGGCTCCAACAAGGCACATAAGCTGTGGATTTGTTTATCACAGAAGGCAGGCCCCAGGAGGAAGGGTTGGTTTAATGGCAGATGGGGAGAAGAGATGAACTGGCTTTGAACGGACACACCTCATCTGCAGAATTTTGAGAAAAAACTGAACCAAGCAGGAAAAAGCCAGCATGGGCAGAAATGAAGGAACAGAAATGAGAAATGAGTAAGAATTGCATCAAAAAAAGTACCTTTTCTGACTGCCGTTAGAGAAAGGGCCATTAGGATCACATCCAGCAGCAGGTCCATCACTATGGTCTCTCATGAGTGTGCAACCATAATCTTCAGAACTGAGGAAAGAAAAGAGCCCAACATGTTCTTCAGTTCATTCTCCTGACGTTGTGACTAGTTTCCATACAGCAGTTTCTCTCACATGTTTGTGGTTTCACTCATCAGGAAACTGTCAATATGCTCCTAGTCCTCCTGGTGGCAACTCAAAAGGGCTGTAAAGTACAGCAGAATGAACGAATGGTACTTGAGGTGGCAGTGGTGATGGGGGAGGTGGAAGAAACATGATTTACTTCATATGAAATGATATAGGATGCCCCAGATATAAAAACAAATTGGGACTAGGATTCCCAACAACACAGTGAATAATCATGGCTTAATTATTTGCATCAAAAATACTTGTTTCCGGAGTTGCTTCTTCAGCTGTTGATTCGATTCAATGATCTAAACTTTCTCTTTCCTTGGTGGAAATTGTTGATGACAGTAATATGATTAGTATATCTCCGTGAATGTTCATCTTTGAAGCAGGTATTATTTAAAACTGCCATTAAAACAACAGTCTTACTAATGTAATCTTTCTTGTACTCTAATTATCTGTCATAAAACTCAAAAGAAACCATTATGATCTTTTGATTGAAGAAGGCGGCCATTTGAAGACCAGCAGGAAGTGAGTGCTTGCCATGTAACCTGTTTTTTGGAACATGAGAGAGTGAAGCATCTCTTGGGATGCTTCAACTCTGAGAACGGAAGATCAGGACACCACAATCCATTCTCTTCCATTTGTTGATTTTTTGTAATGGATGGCATACACAGTGACCCAGATAAATAAGAAGAAACCTCACACAGACAAAAAAAAAGTCACTCTATTGTTTGAAACTTAAGGTCTATCTCTAGACTTCTGCGCATCTCAGGATGCTTTGAAATGCTGCCCTCTAATGGAAAGTAGTCAATACTACATAAATATACAGGTGGGCTGGACTACAAGGTTGACATAATATGAAGGATGTACCCAGTATCTACTCAAAATAATTACACAAATTAAGTCATGGACTGGAAATGTTTCAGAGACATGACAGTTTCCTTGAACCAATGAAACTTAATTTTGGAAGAGGGTTTAAAGATAGTTTCCTACTCTAAAACACACACCACACCCTAACTTGATTGTGGCTTCTAATATTATGAGACATGCCACCCATATCATCCATAAGCATTGCGTAGTTCTATCTATCTATCTATCTATCTATCTATCTATCTATCTATCTATCTATCTATCTATCTATCTATCTATCTATCTATCTATCTATCTATCTATCTATCTATCTATCTTAGCTAGCTGCCTAGCTACCTAGCTACCTAGCTAGCTAGCTCTGCCATTCAGAAGAGAATATTCATGCTGGAGAGATGTACAAATGATAGACCAAGACTTGGGAACAAATGACCCTTCAGAAATTATTGGACTGCAACTCCCATCATCTGTCACCTTTGGATACCTAGTGCCAAGGACAGTTGCTATCCAGCAGCATGTGAACAGGGACTAAATATGTCCCCTGCTCCTGCTGTGCATGATGTGCACTTTAAGCCCATGAGTCTTCGTCATGCCCATTCCCCTAGGAATGCTGCAATGAAAGGCAAAAACCAGAAACACTGGCCTATGACAGCCTTTCACAGGTATCATCGTGAAAGATTTGTGCACGATTCATTCCTACAACTCTTATTTGAGGAGTCAGAAGCCATTTTAGGAAGATAACTCAAGAGGGCAAGCAACTTCTCCGGGATTCGGAAAATCTTCCAACTTTGGCCTCTTTCTTTAGTCTCTACGGTTTGTTGAGCTGTTTTGAGACCTCACCTGACTGCCTCCCTGCTTCTTGACCCAGCTCTCAGACTTTTCTGATCTGTTTGCTTCAAGACTGCCAACCTCGACAGTGGGATCTATATCAGAGAAAAGTAGAAAAGTCCTTGTGACGATTTTGATAGAGCACAAGGAACTTGAACATTCCTGGGAGCAACCCATATTGCAAAAGAGCTGAAGCTGCACAATTTTTATGAGATGAAAATGGCATTTTTTTTCTGGCTGTAGCCATATTCGGCAAATAAAATATGTGTAAGATACTCAGGTGTAGAATTCCAGCCCCATCCCTTTGTTGGCCTCGATACTTGGCGGAACGCTTACTCCCACCTAGTTCTACCCGTGTCACTCGTGCAAGTCAGGAGGTGAGGCTGAGGAGCCTGACGCCAAGGGAGGCCCGGAAGGAAAAAACAAGAAACCGGGCCTTCTCGGCGGTGGCTCCTCGCCTCTGGAACAATCTGCCTCCGGAGATTCGCGCACCTCCCTCGCTGGGTACTTTCAAAAATCAATTAAAACCATGGATGTTTAGGCAGGCCTTCCCCCCTCCCAATTAATTCCTGACTCTTTTCCCTCCTCTCTCTATTTGATTTATTTTGTAGGCTTCCCATCTTGTAGAATTATTTAATTGTATAATAATTTTTTTCTTTTTTCTTTTTGTTATGTTTTTATGTTGTAAGCCGCCTAGAGTGGTCGCAATGACCAGATAGGCAGGGTATAAAAAGAATAAATAAAATAAAATAAAAATTGTTACTTCTGTTGCCCTCCTACATGGGAGGAGGCAGCAAGTCTGCATGGAGATAGTCTCCACTATCAGTGGATGAATCAATACCCTGGAAAAGTTGAGTATCAAGAGCACTACAACCTACATTTAAGTACTCTACATGGTACCCAACACTTACATAGAGCTTTTTTCTTTGCACTAATACTGAGATTTGATGCACATCCACCATACCTTGGATTGGTGCATCTATTACTGTGCAATCCATACTGTGCCTGATTCCTGCCCTCTAGGACTTGGCTGCTTCATTTTATGTGTAAGTTTCATCCTGGTGCCCTTGGTAGCAGTAGCAGATGCCCTGGACCCAGGGTAGTGAGATAGAGAATATTTTGTCATGTTATAAGTCGCTCTGCTTGGGCCAGTGCAGGAGCATGGATTTTTTATGCCGGTAGAGATATGGCTCCAGTCATACACAGATACAATCTGTTTGGGGCTTATCAAGCAGCTTGGCTGTAACTCAGCCAGAGAGGAGAAAAGCTACTGCCAAAGGATTCTGGAGAATACTACGTCCATGTCAGATGTTTCCCTCTTCATCTTAACGTGTTAGTTAAACCAGTTCAGAATGTGACTGCCAAGATCAAAATCAGCATTGGAACAACTCATATATTTTGGACTGAACATAAATACCTCTTCATGCTTGCCTCTTTTTTTCAGCAGTGGTGGGAGGGAAAGGGAAGTGCCCCAATTTTGCAGTCCTGGGCTTTCTACCATTTTTGAAAAACCTAATCTATGGTCCGCCCTGGAACACTGTACGTAGTCTCTTATTAAAATATGATGGGAAAGGTTTGTTCTCTGTGGTTGTGGGGAATTTTTGAAAAGGTTAACAAAGGGTCATAAGTTGTAAGATGGAACAATCAGCGCCCCATGTGTAGATTGCACACAAATTTCTCAAATGATACCATGGAAACTGTAGAAATCCTGAATTGCTATTTAGCTGCAGTGAAGGCAAACAAAATGATGCTCAATCTAGATGAGACTGCAGTTCTACTGCTCAGTGCAAAGGCCAATCTGGAATAGGACTGCAACTTGTTCTGGATAGGATGCACTTCCTCTGAAGGATCAGGTTTGCTGCTTGTGGTGCTCTTAGACTAAGTGTTGCTCCTGGAAGGTCAGGTGGCTTCTGTAGCTAGAAATACCTTTGGACAGCATCATTTCTTGCATCAGCTGAACCTTTTCTAATGAAGGCAGATTTGACACAAGTATTATATGATTTAATGACCTCTCGATTAAAATGCACTCTATATAGGATGCTCTTGAACAGTGTTCAGAAGCTACAGCTAATGCAAAATGCAACAGCTGGACTTTTATGGTTTTATTGGTCATATATTACCAACTGAATATTACCAATATTACCAATCTTGAACCAACTTAGGTGGCTTCTCAGCTCAATTTAAGGTGCTAGTTTAGAGCTACAAAGGCCTAACAGGAGCCTGCCTAAAAACTTCATCTGTCAAAACTTCATCTGGCTGTCAAAATTATGTTATTCCAAAAGGCCTTTAATACTGCTTTTAAAACGATTTTCTTTTTCTTTTAAATTATGTTTTAATCTGCTTCATTGTATACCACATTGGAAACCTTTAAATGCTTTTTAAAATTAATAATAACAATAACCATGTTGTTATCGGTCAATGATCAAGAAAACAACTTAGTGCAGTGCGTGGTAGATAGTACAGTATTAATAAAAGTTGTTATTTGCCCTCAAGCTGCTTCTGATGTATGATGACCTTCAAAGGGTTTTCAAAGTGTGTGAGATGTTTTAGGAATGGTTTTTCCCAGTGCTGCCAGGAAGTTTCCATGCCAAGTAGGGATTTGAGCCCAGGTCTCCTTAGTACTCATCTGTCACTGTATCTGCTACTTGACACTGACTCTGAATTTCCACCTCATCCCAGGTTACCTCAACCCCTCCTGAACCTTAGAAGCTAAAAGAGAGTAGTGGCCCAAGCATACATATCAAGGGTGGGTTTGCAGCAAGATTCCCCGTCACCAAACAGGCAGATCTTTTGCAATGACACCTGAGGAAAGTACAACTAATCTCAAACTTTTCTCAGGATCATCGGTTATAGAAGGGTCTGCCTCTGGCATACTTTGCAGTCTTGGTAGTAAATAGTTACTCAGGACTGCTTTCTTAGAAAGGAGATCTTCACCTTTCCCCATATATCCTGTGTCTTCCCAATATTGTAACATCCTCTGGAACATGGTCATCTAGACCAGTGGTTCTTAACCTTTGTTACTCGGATGCTTTTGAACTGTAACTCCCAGAAACCCCAATCAGGACATCTGGTGGTGAAGGCTTCTGGGAGTTGCAGTCCAAAACTCCTGAGTAGCCCAAGGTTAAGAACCAGTGATCTAGATAGTTTTAGCAGTTAATACAATCGTTTGTAACAAATTGAAACTATGAGAAGCCTTGATATCAAATCTTCTTGAGTCTCTCTCATGCTTATTCTTTACATGTATTAATTCTCTTACTGTGTACACAAATCACAGGAGACATCCCAACTCCCAGTATGCTTGACCAATGGCAGAGGCTAATAAGTACTGTATTCAAATCCAGCAATAGTTGCAAGGCTGTTAGTT